GGTAGTGAAAGTTGGGTGTGGCAGAAGAAGCACGAGAGTAGAATCAACGCAGTAGAAATGCGGTCGTTAAGGAGAATGTTAGGGCTAAATCTGAACGACAGGGTAAGAAATTGTGTAATAAGAGAAGAGTGTGGTTTGCAAGATGATGTTGTGACCAGGATTAAGAAAGGAATGCTTCGGTGGTTTGGTCATGTGGAAAGAATGAATGAGGAAAGAGTGACAAAGAAAATTTATGTTGCAGAAGTGAATGGCAGAGTCGGAAAGGGACGTCCTAGGCGATTTATTGAAAACGGGCCAAATTAGGAGTACCCTTAACCGACGAGCATGTATGCGTAGGTGTATGGATGTGAAGGAGGCGAGAGAGGTATGTCAGGATCGTGACAAATGGAAGTCTGTATTCTCTGCCTACCCCTCTGGGTGACAGGCGTGAATGTTTATGTATTATGTATTTTATGTGAAGTCCGCCAATGCGATATTGCGCAGCGTGGCGGATCATTTCTTGCCCTAAAAACCTCCCAAAAATGGCCGCCTGTGCCCAGAAGTAGCACGTATAAAGGCTGTAACTTTATATTAATATATATTTGGTTCATTTCAAATAATCGCCTTGTGAAGTATTATTAACTTTCAGAAACTTTGAGTTAAAATCTATGAAATACGTAACTGAGGCGCTGACAAGACCCAGTTAGGCTTATTGAAACAATTTTAGTCGAATTTTTATTCTTGATAGCAACGGAAGAAATATGCCTTAATCTTGAACATATGTCTGAGAAAATTGTAGTTTTCAAAACACGTTTTTGAAAAATGTTCTCAATACAAAAATTGTAAGCTAACCTCTTAAACTGACCTGCCAGAATAAATATCTGTGTACCTTATCAACGTACGTTGATACAGTTAATAACAACAACGTATCATATTTGAATACAGAAGATTGCTGTTTTTTTATTTTACATTACTTACCTTATTTTTAAGATTTTAAGTAATACATTTTTGTTATTTTGTAATACGTAAGTCCTACATTTTGAAGGCATATTAATAATATAAAATTGTCAAAAGATTGTATATTATTTCATTGTAAAAAATAAAACGCTATATTATTCTTGGCATAAGTGTGTTTGTATATGCGTATTATCTCTATTTTCTGAATTTTTTTAGGCTACAATGCTCGTCTAACTTTCGTTCTCAAATTGCCGTCCTCTAAAATCTGCCTTCGCCTCCCTTGCTATGGTACTTGATATTTTTTGTAACGTTTAAATATGAAACTATTATATTTAAAAAAAATGGCATTTGCTATAACAATAAAATAATTTTAGACTACTTTTGCTAAAATTGTTTTACTCTATGAAAGCAGGATTACTTTGGCATGTATATACCTCATTATTATTGATATGAACCGTCATGTCGGTTGAATCTTTTCTGCGTAATCTACACCCATTTTTCGTCTATAAATCTGGGGTCTATATAATAAGTTGAAACCGTACGATGTAATATGATTAAAATTGCAACCGTTTTAATGAAAAATATTTAAGAATATGTGTACATTTATTCATCTTTATTTTTCGCTAATGCTACTTTATCGAAATACACTGTTCTTAGAAAGCAACTTTGCACTAGCTGTTTACTAACAAGTAATATTTTACTTTTATGTATTACATAAATATCATCTTAAATCTTATGCTCGTATACTTTTTTGATTGTCTTATCAATTAAGAAATAGTATGTCTGTTTAGCAGTACATAATATTATGATATACTTGGATGATTCATGTAACAAGCAATGTCTTTAATAGGTAATCACAAATCAGCCTTTTCAACGCATATTTATTGGATGCTTTTCTTATGCCATCGTGCAAGGAGTTGCAAAGACGTGTCGCCTAAACTGTGAAGAAGTTAACATAAAACTCAGTGAAGTGCGCTGGAATAGAGATTATGTTGTAAAAATAAGTTATTTTAATTTATTTTCTTCGCATAACAATACGTTTGTACAGACTTTGTTTTTGTAAAAAAAAAAAAGATATAGATTGCTTATTTATCACTAACTCATTAACGATGAACAAAACACACAAAGCACAGCTCGATAAATTGGCTTGATATATGGACACAATTTGAACTTGCCCATACCATAGTAAATACCGTTACAGCCTATTAAAGTCCACAGCTGAACATGTTCCTTAATGTCCATAGTATCGCGAATCATCCTTTGAATTGGTGTTTAGCGGTCGGTTTTTTTAGGATTTGTGGTCTATCAAATGTTATATAATGGTTGGAACGATCCTGAACATGTTGACATACTGCAGACTGTCCCGAACGTGGGTGCTCGGAACACATCAGCGATATTTTCTTTTACGTGGGTTTTTATTTATATTTTGACCACATTCACAATCAAGCTTTTACACTCCTGCATCTTGTAAAGGGATATTAAATTTGATGAGTGGTAAGAACTAACTTATCTTCTTCGACGTCTTGTATGTTCTTATGGAAGCCCGCTGTTGTCTGTGACTCCTCTGACATATGATAGTACAGCAGACACAGGGTCGACTGAGGCCAGTTTCACTCGGTCGCTATGACGGAGGCGCGGGACCCGTAGATTGTTGTCGTGCAAAACTTGCTTGACGTGTTGGATCTCGGCGGCCAAGTGTTAACTGTCATAGATCCCTTGTACTCTCCACGGTACCACGGTGCCGTAGGTACCACACTGTAGCTAATAATAATAATATATAGGCGTAGGGAAGTGACGACCCCATCGCCCGCTGACGTAACAGTTAAGTGACAAAACTGCTACGTCGGTGCAGTCAGTCAGCGCCTTGCCAAGAGGTGTATGCGCCGTGCCTCGGCAGAACTGAGGGTGCAGAGGCCCTTTTATGCTTACGGCCGTACAATAAAACGGGGCCGGGCCTGGGCGTGTCCCGTTAATTGACATCTATAAACGGATGATTGAGAAAAAAATAGATTATATAGGGCCGCTGCCTGGGGGTTGCCGAGACGCGTCTGAAGCTGGCGCTGGACGTGGCAGCATGCGCGCCGCCAGACGAGCGCGATGAGCTGCACGATCACCTAACAGCCCTTTGCATCCATTATCCCCACCAGAAGGCTTGGTGTTGGCTGGGTCTTCTCGGACTTAGCTAGCGGCACCTGCCGCTGGTGGAGCACCATGCGTTGGACAAAAGTTATGAACGAAAACGCATTGCGGGCGTACTATAGGGCGAAAGGCGAAGAAACTGCAAAGTTGAAATACAACTCGAAAAAGAGTCACATTCTTGTTTTTACAGCACCGAAACAGCCGCCGCATCATGTTTCTCCCGTATACCTCAACAGTATAGCCCTAAATATTGTTAATACCTTTAAGTATCTTGGTCACATTATAACGAGCGATTTAAGCGATGATTGTGATGTAGAGAAGGAGCGTAGGGCGCTGGCAGTTAGGAGCAATATGCTTGCCCTCAAGTTGTCCTTAAGTTGACGGGCATATATATGTCTCTACCCTGAGAGTTAGCAACCCTTCCCCTTTCAACATGGAGGACTGCACACTTCTCCGTTCCTAGCTCCATTCTAATAGAATTTCCAAATTCACAAATGATATTTAGCAATTCGACAGGATGGGAGTGACTGGAGGCGAACAACTTGAGGTCATTCATATAGAAAAGGTGAGTCACTTTTGTACCTTCTTTCCGAAGCTGAAATCCCCTCCCGGATCCCTTCAGTAAAGTACTGAGAGGGTTCAAAGAGAGGCAGATCCAGATTGGACTCAGACAATCACCCTGGAAGATACCCATTCTTATCCTTATGCGGATTTCCGCAGCCATCATCCGCTCACCCAGATGACAAAGAACATGCTCCATACATGGCTCGAGGAAATCTCTAACTGTAAAATCAATCTTGTACAGGTCAAGGACCTTCTTTAGCCATATATGGGGAACCGAGTCGAATGCCTTTCTGTAGTCTATCCAGGCGGCGGAGAAGTTCCAACGTTCGCATTTCACCACTTTGCCAATGAGAAGTGGTTCCTTGGTTCCACGACCGCCGTCTCGACATTCGTTTTGAGCGCGTAACATCACCTGATTTAGCTCCAGGTGACGAGTGATTCTCGCGCTCAAAATGGACGTCAGTGTCTTATATATGGTTGGTAGACACGTGATGGGGCGGTATTTGCTCGGTTCTGTAGTATCCTGATCTTTAGGAACCAAGTGAGTGATCCCAGTAGTGAAGAGGCTCGGGAGTGACTTCTGGTCGAGAGCCTCTTGAAACTTTCGGGTGAGCACAGTGTTACACACTACGAACCCCTTCAGCCAGTAATGATGCAGCCTGTCGAGTCCCGGACTTTTTCAGTTCGGGGCCCTAAGGGGCGTCTCAGCCACGTCTTCCAGCGTTATGGTGACGGGGTCCATAGTCGTAACACTCGCACCCTGCCTTACCACAATTTCCATCCAAGAGACCTCGCTGTGGTTTACGGGCTCTAACCACAAACTACGCCAGAATGCAACATTGTCGGCCTGATCTGGTCCTGGGACGGCTTCAAATTCCCGCCTCTGGCTTCAACGATTTGCTTTGAACCGCTTGGACCCCTCGGTAAATGGTCGAATCCGCTTCCTTCAAGTAGCGACCTTTTGTTTCAGGTCATCTATGCGCTCCGTTAGTTTCTGCGTGATATCCAGCTGATACAAATTGATATATATATATATATATATACATATATATATATATATATATATATATATATATATATATATATCCCAGCAAACGCCATTCTAACGTTGCGCACAACCGTTGGTCTATTATTACCCGACCTGAAGCTTGTCAGTCTGCAGATAACGGCCCTTGCCTTTGCGATACGGTTCTCGATTCTACTTTGACGCTACTTTGTCTCGTAGCGCGTCCAGCCATAGGAATTTTGGCGCCAATAATACGGCAAACTGTCACTGCGGTGCCAAAAATAATTAAGTTCGTCTCGCAAAGGTCCAGGCTGTCCAAGGTCTATCCTGTTCCAAATAGGTCACCAGCATAGGGTTAAGAGCCCTCACTTTCATTTCGCTTGCTTAGGGGTACGCGGGGAAGTCGCGGTCGATTTTCGAGAGGCATGCTGTGTATTTCTAAAATCGCCTCTTTCAATACGCTCCTCATTTGCTCTAGTTCGTGGGAGACTATTTCATCATCGTCCGAATCAACCACAACTGGAAAATCCATGGCGGCTTCCATGTGTGGATGCTGGTCTGCCACCTGAGGGGCCGCATCCCCAGCCATAGCCGATTCATTTGATGAGGGAGTAGCCTCACGTCGTAGTCGTTCGAGTTCGGCATCATCAAGTATTTTAGAGCGCATGATTTACCGTACTTGGTCTGCCAGGTTTTTTTCCGTGACGGGAATAGACGGCTCCGGCTCTGCAAAAGAGCAATGCATCCGAGCCCTATAGCGTATAGGGCTCGGATGCATTGCTTTTTATCCCTGCAGTTTCTTCGCCTTTCTCCCTATAGTACGCCCGCAATGCGTTTTCGTTTATAATTTTTCTCCAACGCATGCGACGTGCTCCACCAGCGGCGGGTGCCGCTTGCTGGGTCCGAGAAGACCCAGCCAACACCAAGCCTTCTGGTGGGGATGATGGATGCGGAGGGCTGCTAGGTGATCGTGCAGCTCCTCGCGCTCGGCTGGCGGCCCGCATGCTGCCGCGTTCAGCGCCAGTTTCAGACGCGCCCCGGCGACCCCCAGGCAGCGGCCCTATATAATCTATTTTTTTTCTCAATCATCCATTTATGGGCGTCAATTAACGGGAGACGCCCAGGCTCGGCACCGTTTCATTATACAGCCGTAAGCACAAACGGGCCTTTGCACTCGCAGTTCTGCCGAGGCACGGCGCTTACACCTCTTGGCAAGGAGCTGACTGACTGCACCGATGTAGCAGTTTTGTTACTTAACTGTTATGTCAGCGGGCGATGGGGTCGTCATTTCCCTACGCCTATATATTATTATTATTAGCTACAGTGTGGTACTTACGGCACCGTGGTACCGTGGAGAGTACAAGGGATCTATGACAATTAACACTTGGCCGCCGAGCTCCAACACGTCAAGCAAGTTTTGCACGACAACAATCTACGGGTCCCGCGCCTCCGTCATAGCGACCGAGTGAAACTGGCCTCAGTCGACCCTGTGTCTGCTGTACTATCATATGTCAGAGGAGTCACAGACAACAGCGGGCTTCCATAAGAACATACAAGACGTCGAAGAAGATAAGTTAGTTCTTACGCATTCATCAAATTTAATATCCCTTTACAAGATGCAGGAGTGTAAATGCTTGATGCTTGTGAATGTGGTCAAAATATAAATAAAAACCCACGTAAAAGAAAATATCGCTGATGTGCTGCAGTATGTCAACATGTTCGGGATCGTTCCAACCATTATTATAATATTTGATAGACCACAAATCCTAAAAAAAACCGACCGCTAAAGAACACCGATTCAAAGGATGATTCGCGATACTATGGACATTAAGGAACATGTTCAGCTGTGGACTTTAATAGGCTGTAACGGTATTTACTATGGTATGGGCAAGTTCAAATTGTGTCCATATATCAAGCCAATTTATCGAGCTGTGTTTTGTTCGTCGTTGATGAGTTAGTGATAAATAAGCAATTTTTATCTTTTTTTTTTACAAAAACAAAGTCTGTGCAAACGTATTGCTATGCGAGGAAAGTAAATTAAAATAACTAATTTTTACAACATAATCTGTAATCCAGCGCACTTCACTGAGTTTTATGCTAACTTTTTCACAATTTAGGCAACACGTCTTTGCAACTCCTTGCCCGATTGCATAAGAAAATCACCCAATAAATATGCGTTGAAAAGGCTGATTTGTGATTACATATTAAACACGTCGCTAGTTACATGAATCATCCAAGTATATTATAATATTATGTACTGCTAAACAGACATACTATTTCTTCATTTATAAGACAATCGAAAAAGTATACGAGCATAAGATTTAATATGATATTTATGTAATACATAAAAGTAAAATATTTAACTGGGGTCAATTAAATTGTAATGCAATAAGAAACTTTGTATTATTAATCTCGTTCCTAACTTCATGACCAAACTTTTTAGTAAACAGCTAGTGCAGAGTTGTTTTCTAAGAACAGTGTAATTCGATAAAGTAGCATTAGCGAAAAAGAAAGATGAATAAATGTACACATATTCTTAAATATTTTTCATTATAACTGTTGCAATTATAATCATATTACATCGTATCGTTTCAACTTATTGTAAGAAAAATGGGTGTAGATTACGCAGAAAAGATTCAACCGACATGACAGTTGGATCAATAATAATGAGGTATATGGATGCCAAAATAATCCTGCTTTCGTATAGTAAAACAATTTTAACAAAAGTAGTCTAAAATTATTTTATTATTATGGCAAATGACAAAATTTTTAAATGTAAACGTTTCATATTTAAACGTCACAAAAATATCAAGTACCATAGCAAGGGAGGCGAAGGCAGATTTTAGAGGGCGGCAATTTGGGTTCGAAAGTCAGACCCCAAATTAACTTTTAAATGACGCCAGTACAAATCTTTTTGATTAAAATGACGAGCGTTGTAGTAAAAAGTTCAGAAAATAGAGATAATACGCACATACAAACACATTTATGCCAAAGATAATAGTGTTTTATCTTTTTACAATGAAATAATGTACAATATTTTGTCAATTTTATATTATCAATATACCTTCAAAAATTTGCGATTTTCCTATTACAAAATAACAAAAAAGCAATGAATTACTTAAAAAACTCTAAAATATGGTAAGTAATCGAAAAAAAAAAACAACAATCTTGTGTATTAAAATATGATACGTTATTGTTATTAATTGTAGACACAGATATTTATTCTGGCAGGTCATTTTAAGAAGTTAGCTTACAATTGTTGTATTGAGAACATTTTTCAAAAACGTGTTTTGAAAACTACAGTTTTCTCAGACATATATATGTTCAAGATTAAGGCATATTTCTTCCGTTGCCATCAACAATAAATATCGACTAAAATTGTTTCAACAAGCCTAACCGGGACTTGTCAGCGCCCTAGTTACATATTTCATAGATTTTAACTAAATGTTTCTGAAAGTTAATTATACTTTACTAGGCGATTATTTGAAATGAACCAAATATATATTAATATAAAGTAAAGTATCAGCCGATATACGTGCTACTTCTGGGCACAGGCGGCCATTTTTGGGAGGTTTTTAGGGCAAAGAATGATCTGCCGCGCTGCGCAATATCGTATTGGCGGACTTCACATGTCTTCGAAATAGTTATTTTTTTCTTATTTTTCTGACTTGCAGGTTTCCTTATGATGTTTTTCTTCACCACCGAGCACGTAGTGAATCACACTTAAAGTTGCAATTAAGAATTTCATCGAACCGGCGGGTATCACACGGGTTGTTTGCGTACTGCGATATTTACGGTGGGTGCTTTTTTGCTTCTAAGAACTATAAGATTATTGAACCAATTATTATTTTATGTTTGTTTTGTAAACTAAAAGCCCGCTTAAGATCCTTAAGTACTCTTTTAATTATTTATTTCATAAATTCCTAACATTAATGGACAATTAAACGCGGAGCCGTGGTACAAGTAGGTCAGGGTATAGCCACTCGCCTTTTAATTTGTGAGTAGAGTTTCAGTTTGATCCCTACTGCCATGTGTGGACATACCTACTCGTATAAAGTCCGCTAACACAAATGGCAGAGCAGCGGACTCTCCCCTTATCAAAAACCTTCTTGTAAATGATAGGAACCCTGTGCCTAGCAGTAGGGTGTGTAGATATACATGTTTATACTTTTTTTTTAATTTTTATAATATCGAAATTTTGAGACACTTTCTATTCCTATAAGCTGCTTTCACACACTATAATATTATTCTGTGACAGTGTGGTCTTTCCCCGTCAAATCGACCCATTCCTGCTACAACCATATCATAGCGGGGGCCAAAGCTCTACCACGTAACGAATACCAGTCTATGAAGTTCTTTTTTATAGTTATATTATAGTATATAAGTATATAACGTGGTTTTTATTCTCTTTCTAGTCTTTTCCTATTCAAGATGTTTACTTTGGTAAACGACCAAATTCGCAGTTTAACGAAATGTAAAAGTTTTTCGATTATTTACCTTATAAATACTTCAAAGAGTCTCAAGTGGCGTCCTTAATGAACCATTTAATAAAGCACTTACGATTTATACGAAAAGACTTCAAAGAACAAAATACGCTTAATTTAGAGTAGCTCATATTTAATTTTTAAAAGTTATTTGCCTAACATTATCTTGTAATTCCTTGGTTTATACAACACTAATAGAAACTGAAATGTACAGGTTAAAGACATTTTTTTATTATAAATATTGGTAGTATACCTTCATAAGTATTACTTGTAATTAAACGGCAGAGAACAGATTTAACCAAGCAGGAATCTTACCAAACGAGTCAGCTGCCAGATGGCAATACTCAAACGCGACTCAATTTTAAGATGTTAAGTCTCGTGTTGTCGCAGTCACTTTGACTTAAAGTGATAGAGACAGCACGAGACTTAGCGGTGTCTTAAAATTTAGCTGCGTTTGAGTATTTGAGCAAGAGTCACTTAATTATATAGAATGTGTATCACTATGTTTTAACACATAGTTCATGGTAATAATTGTGATAAGCATGTTCTATAAACTAAATGTTACCCACAATAAGGTCTATAAAAAAATTAACACACAGTTTATTGATAAATAAATACTTCGGCCCATAAACACTAATATTTATCTTCGATCACAGATTGAGTTGCCAACGCTTTGTCACCCCTGCGGAAGATGGAACAGAGTCAGGAAGTTAGCAGTGTTTCACCCCCATGCTTTGAAAACACATGAAGCCGTTGTTTCTGCGATTATCTATCACCGTCGTGCTGTTCCATTGAACTATGAGAGTTGTGCACTATACTACGTATCACATAATATACTATATTTTGTCTTGCGCTGATGGATAGTTTCGAAAAAAATGGGGGCTGCCATGATCGAAATTCGATGTGGAGGATATTATTATTGCAACAATAGAGTAGGTTGTTTGCTATCTACTGTTCATAAAAAATGATAAATTATCCATTTCATTTTAATATATTTACATTCATATAAATTGCAACTGGAGATTTCAAAAATGTGGACAGAGGCTGCAAGTGATTTTTAACATAATATATATTCAAGTCGCAGCGTTTTTGAAGCGCTACTCTAGTGAAATATTCAGTCATTTTGTGAACAGAAAATATTTTTTTTATTTCATACTTCCGTTTTCTTTTGAGTTAAGTGCAG